CCGGATCAGTTATTTTATCAAGTGCACTAGTACGGCGTTTTGGTTAGTTAATCGCTAAACATGGCCAACCTTCATAATCGAAACAATAAACTACGAGAGAAATAAGGCCTCTGTGCGCCGGCACGACGGATGGCATCGCCTTTAAACAATAACGCATTTGACGATTATGTCTGAATCGAACGTAAGGTCGTAGCGTATCCGTTCAGTGGATCGATAATCCACTTCGTATTTGGCCGCCAAAAACGCTGTTCCTCGTTGTTCTTGTTGTCCGTGACAGTTTGGTCTTTAAGGACATCCATGACCCGATCAAGAACAACCGTGACCCACAAATGGGTAGAGAAGCAACGTCAGGCCATTTGCCTGAATGGTGACCGTTCGGGGCTCTCATTTTTCGAAATCAATTGCTATGGAACATGTCTCCTGTCATTGACAAGCGCCATATATCTGCATAGTTTTTCTAATGCATACCACTTCAGACATTATAATGGGCTATCTGACCGAAAAAGTATCTAATAAAATACATTACATGTACGTACGCGTTCGAACAGAGTTGCAACCAGCTTGAAGTTTCAGTCGTCTGAATTTCGCAGGGGCTCTGACATTTTGTGTGACAGATGAATTGATCACACCAAAATCGGCCCAATATCACGATACGACTATATCTATAGGCTATTGACGTCACGGCTATCATTTCCGTTCATTTTGCAAATGGAATAAAGACATTTGTAATTGCCGTCTTGACCATAATCAAATTGCTGACTACTATAGTAGCAGCAGTAGTACTAATTCTGGTCGCTGATGGGCGTGACCAGATTGCACAATCCTAAAACGCAAGGGTTTCTTCCAAATTGTACGGTGTCAGCGGCTGTTTGATTCCTTTGAAACGATTGTTTCAAATGTTCAAAGGGTCTTGCCGATTCCCGAGGTGTCGAACATCCTGAGTCATCGTGATACCAGTTACCTGACACTAGACCTAAGACGTTGTAAGAGCAGGTCATCAAAACGGAACAGTGTTTTTTTCCACGCTAACTAAACTATGCCTGATAGATCGTGGCTGTTCACGGTAAAAATCGACCGAGAAATCACCAATGCAACGATGATGACTGGCATTGGCGTCGTTTTTCTCGAAGTTGTTGTTGTTGATTAGTGTTCTTTGCCCTGTTTTGAGTTACCGAGAGTTTTGAGACGTCTCATCGACTTAGGTCTCGCCGACGTACGTTAACGAACTGGATAAGCCGATTGTTTTTTTTTTTTTCGTATATAGTACTCGCTGTAATTCTGTACGGTTTATACATATAGGCAATACTGTGGGGATTAGGTTCAGCTCAATGGCTCGAAGTAGAATGTGCACTTTTCTATACTTAAGCATCCACAGCATAACCGCCGAAACAAGCATAGGCGGTAGAACCGTTGAGATCTAGCGAGCAGCTTCGCAAGAAGTGGATCGACAGAAGTTCTCCGCCTACTCCTAAAAGAGTATAACGTAATCGCATCCTACGACGATATGCCGTCATCAACATAAGCTTGCCGTGCAGACGTCCCACTCTACTTCTCTCATGCACTACACCTGTGCATGAAATCTGGCTCTGAAGAGTAAATTCGAGCAAAGATGCATTTGTAATGCAAATATTTTCTTCGTGCAACAAGAATACAGTACAACTAGACTATATATGGATGAGCGTAAACAGACACACATAAATCGGCCAGGATATGCACGCATGTAAGTGTACGTCAGAAATGGGCATGCACACAAGCCTCACCTTGTAACTCGCAGTAAGTAGCCGGCAACGTAGATCTTTACTGTGTTCTACGTCGTGCCCTAGTCATACACCGCAGGATTGTCGAAGAGAATAAACGCCGCGTGCTTCACGTTAGAATGTTACCCGACATAGGTAGAGGAAGGGTATTCGAGGGGTGTGAAACATAGTTATAGGCTTCAATTGACTGGGTGAGCACATACGTCAAATAGTTATTATTACTAGTGATAGAGTGGTACTGCTAATCCCCTGACGCTTCAATACGCTACGACGTCTATATCGGATCACTGTTTTACGTTATCTGAATCCACTGACAAAAATAAACGGAAAAACGAGGCCAGTTGTAGGCGTTGATTCAATGGTTGATCAGTATCCGATAGAGAAGAAGAAGCAACGAACTTGTTGTGGGTGGTCATTTAGTACAATGCGGATAAATCAGTATAAAAAAAAAGTGTGATTTTAGTTGGCAGTATCGATCGTACGGATGGAACGCGCTTGTACAGATGGTTTGTTCAGGGATGTATTCTCGTTGAGTTATTATAAACCACCAGTGAGATATGATTATGTATTATTTTAGATCCATTGTATATTCTATGAAAGATGATTGCTTTTCATTTGACGCGCTATTGAGTAAAACCGATTGCCCCAACGATCTATTCTAGAGCACATCATCCCAGATTCCGATGGGCAATTCTTAGGAAATTGTTTGCAAGTATCTTTTGAAGCTTTGTCATCCTACGTTGAAAAGTTCGTTCGATACCCATTTCATGAAAACGGGGATGGACAAATTTGGATTTTTCGGGCGGATATCACATTGGCTGAAGGTGAATCATGGTGTCGTGCGGCGGCTGGTCGCGTTGCCAAATAATCGCTATGCCTGTGCAATACATGTGTATGGCATAGATATAATACGTGGGTCTAAAAATATATACATTGTATTGTCTATTGAAACGACAACAACAACCAGATGACGGGAGAGGGGTAATAGCATTGGGCGCATTGTTTTAGCTATACTTTGGTGCACTGGCTCTTGCCGTAAAAAAAACACAGCAGCGTCAAACAAATCGAATGGACCATTTTAGCGCAGCAGGCCACCAAAGTGGAACTGTCGCTCAGCATCAGGCCAAAAACCATGTAGACGGTACTAGTTATGTTAACACTCGATGCGACGTATGTGGACGTAACGGCGTGAACAGTTGTACATGTGGATCGGGTTCCCTGTACGGTGGTCTAGTAGCGGCCTATTGTCGATGGGCAAATAATGTGTGGCGCGGGACGGAGGGTAAAAAGTTAGTAGAACAATAGAATAGAGCTAGAGTGGCGCGAGCGAATGGAGGGATTCAACGCTTATCTTTGGATAGCGATTTTGTTGCCAGTTGCTAGCCAAATCACCGTGTATGCTAGTTTCATTGCGAGTATTTCTTCAGCATTGTCGCTGTTAGCTGTCTTGCCAAACTTTTATATGAGAAATACCCCATCCTGCGTGTGGTCTGTTCATGTAGATCGTTGAGTGTTGCAAAGCTTATTTGATAGCAGCTTGAGTGAGGCTAACATTCTTTTATTTTAAATCGATGATGATGTGAGACGAATTTCTACACGTTTAACCTTCTACCTTAACAGGCATATACGTATACCTATGGTCATCGCAGTAGCGCCTAATTTCCATGACCACTTACCCAACGAAGCAAATCTTCCGTACGAGGGAGCCGTTATCAAACTCTTTGCATTATTCCTAACCATACGTACATGTGTGTCGAACGAGGCAGAATGCAACAGTCTTTAAAAATAGTTAACGAATGCTATATCTATCAAGAGTTTGCTATTTACTAGAACTGTTTAAGAGTTTCTTTTTTGGTTATCTATGTGTTCGCTAAGCGAGAGACCCTTTCCTCACTTCTGCTCTATCTGCGCTTCCTGCTATTGGTGTTAATGTTGTGACTTGGTCTTTTAGCACTTACGTTCAACGAAACTCCGTTAGGTCGATGAGCCGCTGCGGCGGCCGCCACAATCTCATATGTCGGTCAGCGACACTTTTTATCATTAACAAATCGTAGACGTCGAGGCCTGCAACGTAACCTCTAGACGGAGCCACCGTCGGTTTCAAATGGTGGGAAAAAGGCGCGTAACGCTAGTGGTTTGGCAAAGCTGCTGGAAGCTAAGCAATTAAAGGCGCTATAGAAAAAAAACTGAAGAATGGTCCGAGATGCCATCTAGCGTAGTTCGCTATTTGAATTGTGTAACGATAATACCTGACGAAGAAAGTGCTGCCGTCTTGTGGCCTGTAAGTGTTTGCGTTGTGGATATCACCCTGTTTCTTATCTATTATTATTAGGAATTAGCCATTATTTTTACCGAATTTTTCTATCGTCTTTTAAACATGACACAGCATGGATAGAGCTAAGCTAGTGTCTAAAAGTACTGATTTGGTGTACGCGATGATAAACAAGAAAGCTTATTTAAAGTCATTTGGTAATAAATAATAGGCCTAATATTGGCCTGTCATTGTTTGTGCCATGTTCCTAAACGGACGGAAGTTCATAATCGATCATACGATTAGCATTTAGAAATTCGCCTATCTGGAACACTGGGTCAGGTGCAATCTAGCCGTTGAGGGCGATTAAGCTGAGGCCGTACCAACCTAACCATAGCGACCGGAACTGCTTGATCGAATCGGAATTTTTTTCGTCTTTTGATCTACAATAGGATGTAACTCCACACAGTGATGCATCGTGACGCTTCACCCATGCCGTGTCATGCTTAGTCAATAGCTCGCAACTTTTCCATGTGTGCGCGCTATAATCCACAAAAGTGGGCATAATACACTGTAAGGGTTTCGTCCTAATCTAATTTCATTGTGGCAGCGTCGGCATCGTCATCCTTGTCGGTGTTGTCTGTAAAGTAGGTCGCAAATATCGCAGAAATGGTGTGCGAGAGTGAGGAGGACTAAGTAACAAAGATTATCATCTTTGTTTAATTGAATGCATTGCTTTCTTCACATTATGTTGTATATGAAGTGCTTAGCTGCCGGCCGTACACTAATATGGACTGCGTGGGAGTTGTTGGGAGCCGTCCCGATTGTTCATTGGGTGGACCGCGGCCAAACAGGACTGATTAGTCGAAGTCGCAGTATGCTAGCGTCACTCATGCAGCAATGTACGTTGATCGTACATTATCTGGACTCACTGTAATCAGTCAGCAACTACTAAAATCACTGTTCCTTCTTTTGGCGCCTCGATATTTCAGGATCAATATGAGAAAATCTCAGGACACACCCTTAATGGCGTGCAGTTTCTGGAGAACTTCCTCGCGTTTATCAAGGAGCGTTCTGCCATAGAGAACGAGTACGCCGACAAGTTACGCAAGATGGCGCGGAAGTATCAGCCGAAAAAGGCTCGACAGGGGCTGGTGGAGGAAGATGACACTAATTTCACTACGCACCTGGCTTTCAATGCGATGCTCAATGAAATAGCAGATCTGGCAGGCCAGCATGAGGTCATCTCCGAAGTACTGGTTCAGAACATAGCCAAGGAGATTGCTAGCCTCGTCCGCGAGCTTAAAGACGAAAGGAAGCGCCTACTGGCCGAGGGGAGCAAGTTGCAGCAGAATCTGCAAAGTTGTGTCCAACAGATGGAGAAGTGTCAACGTTCCTATATTAAAGCACATCGCGATGCTGAGAAGATGCAGGAGAAGTATGAACGGGCCGAAAATGATATGCATCTCTCTCGAGCCGAGATCAATGTCGCTAGGCTGTCTTCAATATCTAAAAACCAGTTCTGTGAGGAATCCAAGGCGGAGTACGCTTCACAGCTTCAAAAAACCAACGAACTCCAGGTAAGTCGAAGGGTTTTGTGAAACATAATTTCTTGCCTCAACCTGAGCGCGACCTGTGCAAGCTTCTTGACTGGCTTAACAAGGCTGGTCAGGAGTGACATGGAGTTGGTACCGTATCGAACCTTCACTTTCTTATGGGATTGGTTCGTTATCTTATCTCCTTAGTTATGTTGTATTATTCGGATAATTGTGACTGATAATGATGATAGTCATGATAATATTAATCGAGTCTTTTGAAAGGCACAAAAAATTATAAAAGGCAGTCATAATTAAGTTCATTGACCGTTCTGTAAATTTGCTCTCGGTCCGCGCCAGTCGGTTCGCGCAGTTAACCAATAATGGTAAATAGCGTTAGGTACGACAAATAGCAAAAACGAAACAAGCACTTCGAACGTTGCTCTTTCGAAAAACAAATATGTAAGCTATACAAATAACTGTGCCCGTATTGTATAACTCCGACCGTTGACCAAGGCGATATCTTCAATATAATCATTTTCAGCTATTTGCGCTTAGCGAATATCTACTAGATTGAAGTACGTATTTGAGCCGTATAACCACGTAGATTCGGACGATATGCCTTTGCTGTTCAATCATTTATATATTATTAATATATATATATATAATATATTTGAATAGTATAGAGCGTATGCTTCAGGTACAGGTTAACAAAGATGTGTACAAAGGTGAAATGCAATACTCGTCTCAACGTTTCTATCACAACCTCATTTCAAGTTTGCTGGCTTGTTTCGTTGCAGCGAATGCACTTCAACGAATACATGCCCCGTGTTTTCAGCGATCTTCAACAGATGGACGAGCGACGAATCACGTGCATTCAAAATTTCATGAAGGAAGTAGCACAAGCCCAGCTCAAGGTGAATCCCATCGTACTGAAATGTCTCAATGAGATTATAGCCGCTGCCGACAAAATAGATCCAGTCAAAGATTCCGAAATGGTCGTTGACAAGTATAAAAGTGGTTTCTTCCCTCCGGACGATTTCCCATTTGAGACTCTGAGCGAAGAAAAGACGAACGGTGCGAGTCTTAACTACAGCAGCGGCGGTCCTCACCACAAAAAAGAGACGCAACGTGGAACGATCTCTTCAAAAATAAAAAAAAGGACGCTTCTTTCTACAATATTCGGCCCGTCGAATAAGGTACACTCAGAATATAACGAGTACAACAGCGTTAACTCACAAACTATTGGTTGCTCACGATAGAGTTTATAGCTCCGATATCGAACCCAACAAAATTAAATCGATGATTATTTTAGTCCTAAAATTCGACAAGTTTAGAACGTTTAGTTGTTGTACCTACTTCATTACCGCTTGTTGTCATATGGCACCTGCAATATAGCCCAGATCTAGCAGAGCAGTTTCTAGGTGTTTTTTGATGATGTTGAAACTTTTTAGAGTAGAGACAATTCTACATTGATGACTCTATCAAAACAAATACATATTTGTATTAAACTTTAGGAAAGATAACAGTTACTTGAGGATGTAACAATAAAGCTGCTTCAAGTACGCTGTCAGTCTGTGCCATTGTTATTATCGCATTATATGAGTTGGACGCGCTAACGAAGTTCCTTGCTCTTATGTCTCTGCAATCAAACAAATCGTCATCATCACGGATGACTACTGACGCGTCATTGGCTGTAAGTATCCCGGCTGCCTTGTGAACATTCAGCCCCTGAGCCCGTCCTAGGTGTGAGGTCGAATCAGTTACTTCAGTGTAGTGCATTTTCTCCGCTGTCCTGTGTGGTAAAATAATATACATTAATAGTTACCATAGTTCTAGCTAGACGGTGTGGAGTGAAAGTAGTTGTGCGAGCGGAACATGAGCGATTGTTTAAACAACCCATAGTCACATTGCTTGAATGATCAGCGCATGTTTTGGTCCAGATGGTTTGGCAACCCCGACACGTTGGCTACCCGGGCGTCTTTACTTCTTAATGCAAATCTATTATATATATATATATATAGCGTATACGCGTGTCCGAGCATTACACGTGCATTGTATCCTCCATAATTTTTACACCAGTCTCATTTCCCACCTCATGTATTCCCCTCAGTCATGCTTTCATAATGCTCAAAAATGTTCGTTACTTTTCAACTTCTAGTTGTAAATATTAGTGTCGATTGGGGCTGACGTACACAGCCAATGCGTCGACTCGAAACTGGTTATTCCGCCTTGCATTAAAGAGCTATTTACGAGAAACTGTCGTTTTCGGTCGTTACCTGGTACACACAGCGACAGCTCAAAGGGTGGCGTCTGCTAGTCGACTTCCTGGCCAACTTGATTCGCAATATTTGATCCTTTGCAAAGATCAGCGTTTTCATCCGATCGTTAGGTGAACGAAACTTTGGTGGATAGCGGTATTTGACTTGTTTCGTTGTCAACGACGATGGCCAGCGTGATTTTTTGTGCTTCGATCAGCAGCTCGCATACCGTTGATTCGTCAATAACGACGACCTAGACGATATCCCCAAAATCGTACATAGTAGTTGCGGCTTTAGTCATCGTACTATGGAATTGTGATGGTGAGCTATATGGATGGGAGTCCGGCCCCGTAGTTCCTGTCTGATCGAACGAACTTTTACGAGCAGAATTGCGGAAGATGAGGAAGACATCAGAAGAGATGTTGTTTCTGGCCGCTTGCCGTCGGTATCCGCTGCTAGATCACCTTCGATTACGATAGTCGGTGGTTACGGTGAATGCCGTCATCAGCATGTGCATCTCCGTTATGCCACGCTACGTCAGCTGGTCGGTGGCAGTTGACACCGATGTCGTTACGTCCGTTCGATGCACGATGAAGAATACAATGAAACGCGTTGATCACTTGTTTCATTGCGATCGCCGTTGTCTGTTTCGGTTACGGCAGTTAGAGCGTTTGCAAGCAAGGTAGCTTCTATCTATATTTCTTTCGCTATATTCAACTAGTAACCGATAGCTATGATGTCTGACTATCCCAATGCGTTTCAATGGTATTTGGCGGTACCGGATGCTAGAAACCAGCCTTTGAACCCTACTTAATAGGTGCAGTTCACGCGTTTTGCTGCCGGAGTGTTCTCCGCCTTTCAGCCAGCTAACTAACTGTCCATTGTTTGTCACCTCGTTAATCGTTGACTGTGGTGAAAATACTTCGATATATTGCATTTATTACCGCCATTGTGAGTTTTGGCAAATAGAAATGAGCGAAGACCTATATCCTTATGTCTATAACTGTGTCAAGCGTCGTATTAGGGTAATGCCGCTCGCAGTCGGTATGCAATAGTAGTTAGCATAGCCAGTGGAGGCCAGTATTGTCAACCGTTGTTGTTAGTTAGACAAATAGTTTCGGTCAAGTAAATGCTAGCATAGAGATGTTTACGAACGTAAATGAATGTCAGCTCGGGTAGCTTTATCGTTTACAGATAAAAAGTTACAAGTTGTGTCGTTGTTGTCCTCATCATAACGATCATACTTTGGTACATCTTAGAAGCCATATTTTAGTTAAAGCTAACTGTTTTGATCAGGAAGGAGACGGAGAAGACGAATTTTGGAAGACGAAGGCACTGGAAAAATGTAGCGATTGAAAGATGTTGTAGCATTGCAGCGCTTCATATATTCCCACTAGCAACAGTGTTCCCCATAAAGCAAGTGCCTTCAGGTCAGCGATTGTTAGCGAAAGTCATACTATTTGCGATTTCTTTCTAACGTGTTTGAGCCTAATCAATAGCATCTATCAGTATATAGCCTTACCAGCCGCTTGCGGCTGATCATTCACACTTCACCCATTGCATTGCAGAACAATCTTGAGGATGCGAAGGATGAGACTTGGTCGGACCTCCCGCCGAATCAGCGGCGCAAAAAGATCCAGAAAAGGCTCAACGATATCCGTGATGAGTTGGCGCACGAGACGAATCAGAAGGATGGCCTACGAAGAATGCGAGAGACGTACGAAGGCAACTCAGCGCTTGGAGACCCAGCATCTCTTGACGCCGAAAGCGACCGTTGTACCAAACGTATTGATAGCTTACACCAGCAGGCACAAAGGTACGTACGTATATATGTATATATATATATATTCAGTGACAACGCACAGTCTCCAGAACGACCTGAAGAGACTTTTCTTCATCATATAAGCAATATCATTGAATAATATAAAGCAAGTGACATCCTAATTATTTTGCGCGACTTCTTTGCCTAGATATCAGAGCCTTCTGAACGAGATCGAGTCCTCGACGCCGGACGCGGTTAAACGACATAGCGGTCACGCTCGCGGCAACTCGATCATCAGCGCCGAGGACACGGGCTCTCTCTCGCGCTCCAACTCCGACGAATCGAACATTCACAACAATTCAGGTACGCACCCCCATCACGTTCACCATGGACACCAGCATCCTCCTAGTGGCAAAGGCTACAAGAGTAAGCATATCGCTTCTAATAGCAGCGGCAAGAACAGTAAAAGCAGCAATGGACATCACATCCTCCAAGGTCATGGGGGCATGCTAAATAGTCATGCTACCCATGGCACTACTAATGGCCATACCTCTTCCAATAGCGGCATGATGCATAACAGATCCTCGTCCTCTTCGTCAGCGACCTCATCAAATCCTGCTACACCCAATACCCCACACGCTCCTCTGAGTCCTATCAATTCGTTGGTGTGTCCTCCGACGCACACGGTTCATTCGGTAACTACCAAAGCGTCAGCGTCTCCCGAACCGCTCCAGTGTGTTCCGCACGGAATGTCTACGACGGAGCTACATTGCGGACTGTTCAGTGCCGGAGGAATTAGCGGAGAGTGTCACCTCTCAAATGAAGGTGATACGCTATCGCCAAGCAACCTGACGGGTGCTCACAGTATTCCACCGATTGAAGAGGAAGGTAGGCTAGATCAGAAAACGTGCACGCGAACTGCTGCATCGGATCGCACGGCCGAAGAATAATCAGAGGATAAATTTAATCGAAGCACAGGCAAAATCGAATGAAAGAATCGCTCCTTCTCTAAGCAACGAAGTTGCCAATGGATTGGGTGTGACTGACGTGCTTGCAGATTGAATGCTGCGTGTGTTTAGTGCCGGTTAAGATAAATAATTATTTGGTCTAAAAGTCTAGCGAGAAGTAACTTATTAACTTGGGATGGTGTGAGTTTTATGCTACAGATACATTTGATAGTCAACGAATGAAGGCCATTATTTTTACGTCTTTTTTGTTTCGAGTAACACAGGCTCTTTGGAATGGTAAATTTAAGTGTGGCTGGTTGAGCGACATTTCATTTGCCTGTTTGTGCCACTGCGTGTGTCAGTAATGGTTTGTCTGTGATGTCGAAATTTCCTAAAGTACTTAACCCGACGAAAATTTGAACTAAATATATTTCACGATGAATAGCTGAGTGTGTCGTGAAGAAATGCAGCTCTCATGTTGCCTTTCAAGGCACAAGATTCGCTGTGGACGACAAAGCTTTGCAATTTACTAGACGCTTATTGTGACTCTGGAACTATCTATTCTTTGAAACCGTTCAACCTGTCTCTAATTCCATCAGTCACTCGAATAACGTAAACTGACCACTGATATCATTATTACATTGAAGCAACTATTTGCCCTTATCGGTTATATGTTCCGTTCTGTTTGTACATGCATGTCATAAATGTTTTCCATTTTGTTCGTTGTATTTTTTGTTTTCTATTTTCGCTTTATTTGCCTCTTCTGCCGTGACATGTATTCTGCTGTTATGCCATCTGCAATTATTGCTGTGCATCTGCCATACGTGCTACAACGCGTTGTGTGTCGTCTGCTATTGTGGGACTTTTCGGGATGACGAACGGTGTGACGACAGTGTACGCGACGATTGCAGGTGGAGGTGGAAACTACACGGGCAGTTCGAACGGCGATCACGGTGCGTTCAACTCGGAAAGTGGCGTCGGTAGCGGTTCCCTCCGGGACATCGATGATCCGGACTTTGACGCCCCCTGCAACGACGGTGAAAACGAGCCGCTTCCGCCTTTAGGCACCGCCATAGCACTTTATACGTTTCAAGGTAGGCGCACATTTTCTAGAATGTCATCGAGTCTGGTGAACGAACGTGGCATCTCGTAAACGGAATCAATTGATTCGACCGGCGTCTGACTTGTCACCTCAAGTTTGATCTATCAGTTGACCTGCTCACTCGTTGTAAACAAAAGTGTCACCAACGACATTGTCTTATCAGTATTAATCTATGTACGTACCTTGACGCCTGATAATGATTTTGTTGATATGTTGTTTCTTGTCTGTATCGTTCGACACCTCCTAGTATCAAGACTCTATTGGTTTGTGATATCCATTCATATTATTTATTCATCGTTATTAGCCTCGTTAACCTTCGACAATTCTATGTATGTATGTATCTTTGTATTTTTCAGCGGAGAACGAGGGTGCGATATCAATGAACGAGCAGGACGAAATGTACATTGTTGAACTTGATCAAGGTGACGGTTGGACGCGAGTAAGGATGCGAAACGGCAACGATGAAGGCTTCGTCCCTTCTTCGTATCTCGATATCACAATGTACAATACTTGCTAGCATGCAGGTGGCGCCAACTTTATTAGCGCAGGAGGTCTATACCTTCGAAAGAACACTAGCCTGATCACTGTTAGTACCATTGTGATTATCGTTAGTGCGGTTACCACTACAACACTATTGATTACCAGCGGCTATTGCATCATGTTGCATATTCAGCCACACTTGCCCCCTAAAACGTCATTGTGGTATTATTAAGTGGTGACGGAACATTTCGACCAGTACATAGCCTGCACATTAGTTATTACTAGTAGTCCAAGTGGTTCGCTGTGCAGACTTTCATCATCCATCATGAATAAGCAATTTGAATGAACGTACTTTGACAATTTCCGTATCTGCAAATAGAGAGGATGTTTGTGGGGATTTATAAGAATTAAGTGGACTTACATGGGCTTGGTAGGTGTGGATCAACTTCACCTACAAAATTCTGCGTTCTCAATATAACACAATCCACGATATTTATTTGTCAGTCTCGATTATGTCCTTGTCAAATGGAAGAGATTCGTGGCGACATTCCTAGAAAAATTATTTCATGGCTACTTTATATATATATATATATATGTATGTATATATATGTATGTATGTACATACATATATATATATACATACATATATATATATATATTCTCTATAAGACGTAATTGCCACTGCAAACTATGCTGTGGCGGCTGGTTTGCAATGAGTCGAGTGCGCGGGATAGACTTCATTTTGTTTTTGTGCAGTACGGCTCTCCCAGCAGCAAAATGGTAATCAATTGGTGTGTGAAGCTCTCGATGATTGTGAAAGTAGAAATCGAACACATAAGTCATCAGTTGTGCGACAAACTTACGGTTTAAAGACTTACGGAGTAGATTAGAAATGCGATTCCAGTCTATACCGTACACCATGCCATTCTCCACATATAAAGCTATGTGACATGACCATGAGGTGTAGATATACATGTCCGAAATTTCTGGAGAAGGCTTTTCCATACTGATAAGAAACAGATAGTCGATTGTGGCTATTACTTCGTGATCCCGTGAGAGGATGGCTACAAAAGATGTATATGCATATATCACGAAAAACAAAGCTGTCGTACGCATTTAAAAAGCCGAAGCAACCTTAAAACGACGTAAATGTCAGAGTAGCCATATCATAATCTTAAAATCGCCTTAAAGCCGAAACGGCGTGTGCACATGAAAGGGTGCAGTGTAGGAGGGATTTCCAGAACTTAGCTACATCTTCGAGTCAGTCACAACGTACCAGTTGATCGTTCGTTCGAGCTGTTAGAATCAAACACAGGAACAGTGCACATGTCGTCTGCAAAAGTCGTCTGCTAAATGAGCGGTTTCAATCGTAAACTTGGACTTCGATGCAGATTGACTAGCAAAAAGGAAAACCAGAGAAGAACCGTGGATATCTAGACAGAGCAAATACGCAAAAGATGCTATTTATTCGAATGTGTAATAAGGCATAAAGAAAAGCAAAGACAGGAAATAAAAATGACACAAACATACGACAAAGCTTGAATAATATCGACTGCGATCAAATTCATGGTGAGACCAGAAATATTTGGCGAAGATCAAACTATATATATATGAAAATATGTAATTCCAAGTTCAGATACATATTATGATAAAGGACTACTAAGACAAACAAAGGGGGTAGCAGACACGCACGACTCGCGCAATGCTTACATAAATATACAAATCTATACAAAAATATATAATAACAAACACAGTTGCGTAAGTAGACATACAAATATCTAATAGATATACTAAGTGCGTGAGCTGGTCGGCCAGATATAGTAATGTGTTCCTAAACCATTATTTTTTGATAAGCGACCTTCGAACCTCGCACGTCCCTCATAGCTCATCTAACTTGAGGCGATCAATAAGCTGGTGTAGATCGGCACTTGAGAACTTAAAGCAGGCGCAATCGCAATTAAGAGAGGGAGAATAGTTACACGACTGAGATAGTCAACGCCGAGAAGCACAGAAAGAAAAAGGTTATGTGGGTGTGCGGGATAGGTTTTTATTTTGGACGGGAGCAAAAATTGTCATGAAAAGAACTTCGTGACGGTCCCGAATATCAAGTCCATTATCCGAGATTGCCGAAATAAGCCGTGACTTCGTTCAACCGAAATCGTCCTCGTTTCTTTTACGTTTGCTGCACAACATTTCGTCGGTTCCCTTTCTGTAAAGTTCACTATGAACGATTGACTACTATCGCGGACGAAGGAGGAGGCAAGATAGATAAAAAAAAATAGGTGAAAACGTAAAAAATCGGTCAGGGAAATGAAGTTCAGGGAATCACCGAAAAAAAGCAAAATGAAAAAAGGTCGGTTATTGTATTATGTAGTATCTAGTTAGGCTACGCATAGAAAGCCAATAGAAAAATAAGCAGAGACGATCGGAGCGAGAATCGAATAATTACGCGAATGTAGCGATTCGCTGAAAATATTAAGTAATAACACAGGTAAGGGTAAATAGGGAATTGATGCGTTGGAGAGCACCCACTAGGTAGCTCAAACGAAACTAGTAGGTGACTATAGAACTCGTGTATATACTTCAATCTTCAAAAGCAAAATCCGAAGGGAAAGAACGGAGAAGCTAACAACAGATGAAATAGAAGAGCAAGAGGTCAACATGTGAAAAGTCGATCAGGGAAATAAAGTCAACTGAGCCAAACAGAAAGAGAAGGAATAAAGCTCGGTCACTTTATTATGTAATTCTATGCGTCGTTAATTTATGTTGCTTAGCTGTTTTTAAAGCGATATTAAATAATGGGTATTGACGTTATTGATTATAACCGTCGTTGTTATTGTTTGCATTTGACTCACTGAAATGCTTATGCAACATTTTCTAATGCTAACCCAAGTAATTTAACGATGTGCGTATTCCACAATATCGCATCCTAGGCAAGTAGTTTCACTTCCTATTGGTAAATCGACCTGGAAGCCCCCTATTACACCTCTGCGTGCCGTCAGGTCAAATAATAGTTTGAAAGTCGGCGCGTTTGGCATTTCGACCTAGAGCAGTATTAATTGCGTCATGCTAGGCTCGTGCAAAGCTAACAAGTTTGCCCCAGCTTAGTTAATGCTTCCTAGGCTCATTAACGATGGCACCATATGGACAGATTTCTCTTGTCTACAGATGTAAGCGTAGCCAAAGATTAATTGGCATACGAATGTGGACGGCTTTAGTACTAATAGTATACGGCACTTGATTTATAGAGATGAAGTAACTCTAACCGACGCGCCCTCTATCGAGGTTTTTTAATGTGGCTGTAGAATGCTCAATTTAAATACTACTTATACCTGTTTAATAAGTTTTGATATGAGAAAGGTTTGAGGCGTCAGTCGGTCACTGGTATTTTATATAGAACAAAGAAAGAAAACCTTATACACAGATCAAGTGCAAAAAAAAGAAATTGGCACACGCCAGTACAAATGAATCCGAGCTAGCTAATTCATTTGTATACAGTTCTGAGCGAGCAAACTACAAAACTCCATCTAAACCCGGTGCCCAATTAAGTGTGGCTTTTTACGGCATTATATTTCAGTTAACCTTAACAGTAAACCCATCACCGTCGGGTGTTTCTAAAGGCGCGGTAGGAATGAGGAATGTCAATGGCTTTCGTGTTAAATTTCGAATTCTGGATAGCTAAGGGCTACGACCCCATTTCCCCTTAGACTGCTTCGTACGTTTATAAAAGCTTGGAACACATTAAGAAATTGATAAGCGTATATTAAATATGGAAACAAACCTTGGAGGTAAGGGAGGAATCTAAACGTGGCATCGAGTAACGGCTTCAGGGTGGTTCATATCTCTTGTTGTATACGTACGCTGATGTTAAACCCTACGCCTTTCAGCCCCTGAAAGCTAACTGTGGCACTTGGGGGTTGAGCATTGGAAAAGTTTAAGATCTTTCGAAACAGAATAATGGCTACCATTCACAAACTGCGCGCCATTTTAAAAGTGCTTATATCGTTGTTTGGGCCGTAACCACCTCTTTATATTTCGAATTTTACGTCCATCATCGCCGTTAGTTGTTCCATCAGCACGAACCGAACCCTGTGCCTATGCCCAGATACGAATCTTGACCATAACGTGTCCGGGTCATAACCACCTATAAGCATACACACACAGTCGAGCGCAGTCCCTAAAAAAAAAAAAATAAATTTCAGACTCACGACGATTTGGCACCTCAAAGCGTTACCTGCTTGCTAAACTGAGCAAATCATTCGAATTTCTATACGCGTATTTGCGTCTCGTGTCTATAAAGTAGGACTATATCTGTTTGTAGTCGGATAGCTACTGGTGTTCGGGGTAACGGATAAAGCACGGGCGTTTCAAAATGACACAACCGTGCTATCTGCTGTAACACAGCTAGAGCGATTTTCACTGTCGTACGCGTTATTAGCAGCAATAATAGGATTACAAGACACTAGCTATGATGCCTTGTGACTGAACTACTAGTAGATAAACGCTCCAAGAATTACTGAATCATTAGTAATGAATTGCGCAAACATTCCTTAAGCGCAGTGACCAACGTCTTCTCTAAACAGGCCAACCTATATTGTGTCCTGCGAAGACGTAAGGAATCCAAAAAAACGACAGGAATTCGCGATTCATCGCAGGACGCCAATGACAACTCATTTTCAGATTATTATGGCACATGTTAAGGATTATAAAGAACGCTTGTTTCTACAACGAATCCTCACATGTATCTATTTTGATAGCATTATTCGTCGAGGATATGTTGAGTTTTCCTATGAACTACGTACATTTGTCCTTATTGGGGCTTCAGCAGTCCTACGAAAACTTAATTTTGTATTTTCAGTAACTTCTTTGACAACTTTTAACCGTCTCGTTGTGTATTGCCAAAATCCGGGGTGGCCTATTCTTTTGTTGTTTGCCTTCGCCATAAAAATCCCGACTTTTCCATTTTCTTCGCTTCGTCTTTACTTTATGTTGCATATCGCTCGAAGTAAAAAAAAAAAAGTAAATTCAAATAAATCATAAAAACTTTTCGCACACATGTTCGTAAGATATTTTCAAGTTTGTATCGTAGCGTATGGTATCTTTATATAAAATAAAATGAGTACCTCCTAGCTCGGTGAGGGGATACTTTTTGTACGCTTTACACCATGATATATCTCGTTTTTTAGTATTTATTATATTTTTTTCAATTAAATTGTTTCTTTTGAATAAAACATCTAGTCAGTTTGACTTTTTCATAAAATAATGATGTGCAATGATTAGTTATTTAGATACGCATACTCTCCCGTCTACCCAGTTACACTATTTTGTACCATTCAGAGGAAAACTATTGGACACTGCTACCCTTAGGCTAATGTTTTTAAACAACAGAACACTCTTCTACTACGCTCACTAAAATGGCAGGATTACTAGGCAGACTCGGATCTAAAAACTTGTGGTTAACTAGTTAGATTATAATTATCCCTCGTGAACTCACCGCTGCATGAATCAATTAAATTCTTATTAGTAAAACGTGGGTTCACGTTGATCTGATGAAACGTAGACAAATGTCCACTTATCGCGTGGACCTTCTCTGGTGTTAATGATGATAAACGAAAAGCTTCGACGCAGTATGATAACAAATTCGGACCCCAGAACTAGGAATTTTCTGACCTAAGCGTGTAAGGTAACGCGGAGAGGTTTCTAGCTGCAGCGAAGGTTTGAAGGAAGATAGGGATGCAAATTTTGATTATTGAATAGGTACACCTATTAACTTCAGCGTGAATGATATGCATGCGCGCGATAAATTTAAGCGCTCAATCCTCGGGCCGACGAAGAAGATGCGTGGCAGCACTGCTCTGTTGCGTTGGGTAAATTAGTCCGTTTTGCTTACGATATTCCTTTATTTTAGCTATTTTAGAAGGAATAGTTTTAGATGGCAGACAAACGGTTTTCCCAACAGAGAGAGTCCTCTAAAATATACAGTGTCCAATATTCGGAGAGCATGAGCTTCGTTTTTTGGGGAACTAGCGTACATATTAAGCAAACATGATTGAACACGTGCTTAAACAAATCCTTCAATAAAACTAAACAAAGCAGTTAAATACAGGTGATGAAAATAGGTAAACTTATTTGTTTATCTAATACTTGAGTAAATATATTTGAAAGCAGTTGTCCCCTTAGGTAACCAAGAGATCCATGATGTATGTATTAAATAAAAACATCCATATTATGTGCCGGCGACGTATCTATAGGGTTGAATAGCTATTTCAATATTTATACTCTCATTTGTGTCAAAGAAACTGAATCTTGCGATTGTAACTCTACAGGGACGGCCATATGGTCAGGTGCGACGTCGAAGTGACGACACAGAAACAATTACAGGTATTTATATAATAATGTACTTTTTAACTATTGCATATTTTACTTAAATAAAATATCAATACGATGCGCTTTTCTGGTTTTCTCATGATTGGATTTTGCTTCAGTCAGTTTTAGGCCATTTTTTGGCATACGTCTGGCCCTGTTTCTGAGATAGCGGTACGGGCATTTTTCTTAAATATGTTTACCATTCATAGATTGCCATGGTATACGTCTTGCTTTCTAAATACCACATGAACAAAAGCCTTCAGGAACTCTGTTGGCACTTATCACTGAATGACCCTTCTTGTATAATGCTCTAGCGCAACATCTTGCCATGTCATTTAAGCTAGCACATTTACAGTCGCAGTTTCTCATCATGGGTATCAGGCAAAACTTAACTGGCTACCTTAAAAGTGTACTTTTGAAACTGCAAAGGCACAAATCAGGCCTCCATATCGTGCTGATCGCCATATGCAAAAGAAGACATACGAATATAATATTTTTACGGTTTGATTCCAAGTAAGTACGACGATGAACGAAGTTCAAGCAGCAGTTCCTTTTGAAGGCAATCTGATTTTAAACTATTACACAATACGATCGGATGTAACAGCTCCTATCATGATGAGCATTGGCTACTCACTTCAATAAATTTCGTAAATTTGTGTGTTTGTCTCTTTGCCATACACACTTACTCTATATAGTCCACTCCGAAATAGTCGATGGGAAAACTCCCTCAAACAGCGCGAAACACATACAGGGTTGAGATAACGGGTTAGTTTTGGCTAGGGACGAAGCTCTCTTAGTCTCGATCAGTGTCAAGGCAGAATCTCTGCGAGATTTATAAACCGCATATCGTCTTTGGCGGGCAGTAGATTTTGATAGGATCTAATGTGGGCTGTGTAATCACTAGTGTCCATATAACAGTAATTAATTGTATAGTCCAACATGTTTCATGTGGCCGATCAGATAGTAGTTTGTACGGAACTGACTTTTCCAAACAATCCGTTGGCCATGCGTATCGGTAACCTAATTCTAAAAGCTAAAGGTATAAAGTGTTTTATTCATGCCTCTGAGTTAATTTCTCTTTAATTTCTACTCGTAGCGGAGTCCTACTATCCTATATTGTTCGACAATTACAGTAGCAAAAACACGTGTTTACTGCAAACATTCTGTGTAGCGGCTTTTCAGCGTTTGACACTGATTTGCATAAAGTTCGGGTTTTCATCATCACAGAAAGGTTAGGTTACACTTGTTTGAGAGGGTTAGATTTTTTTCAATAACCTTTGTAAGTACCATTCGTGCACTATGCGCCCTAAACCTGCATCTACTAAAAATAGTCAGATCCACACTGGCTCCGACTTGTTCGATCCACGTTCGCAATGGACGGCCGCTACTTCATTCCAACATAGATATTTACGCCAAACGATCCTTGTAACATATTGTTATGCGCTTACCTGGCAACGGCTAAAAGCGCGGTGGGTATTAAATCGGGCCCAATAAGACAGGAAACCTTAATTACTTTCAGTTACGCACTCGGGAAACGTCAGTGTTCAGCCATACTGATGAAAGACGTCACAATGCCACGGCCAATTATCTTCCGTGATGTGAGCAGCTCGATCTGGAAGTAAATCCGGCCATGTCATTTTGATTAATTCTATATAATAATAGGTCATCTCGAGATACAATCCTTGTTTCTATTGTATTTGCTAAACTGTGCATCGTCTATTTGAAGCATTGCAGATCATCGTAATTATAACATGGTCGCTGGGATATATCAAGAGATCTGCGAGGGGTCCCCATTGTGGTGGAAACAAGGCCAGCTGAGGCTGCCGCTAAGTGCACTCACAATGGAGTCGTTATAAAGAAGTACGACGATCCTAGTTTCGACCAGAGATAGCAACACTTCCTATTTGGTGCCATGAGAAATATTCACTGCTCAGATTTAACGTCAGAGCTGGTCTCAGTAGCAGCAATTTCGTAATTATTTAAACTACGCCCTCTGACCAAACGATCTATTTTGTGATTTCAACAATGATATATATAATATCACAGTAGAACATTGTAATTGTTGCACTTGAAGGACACCTGTAGGTCAGGATAGATTGTCGTATCAAAAAGGGTTTAAGGTCTCTTCGTTTGCAATCTCTCAATAGTAATCGAAGGACGATTCAGTGTGCGATTTTTTAATGCTGAACATATCTGCCAACGAACCAGTTTTTTGTTTTACTCATGAACATTTTTAAAATAATAATTGAGCAACTTTGGGTAGGCACCGTCTAACTAGAACAGGACGAGATCTGAAGATCTGTGTCACCCAATAGATCCACTCTGCCCTTTCGCGTTGAGATTTTGCCCTTAGCATATTACTTGGTAAGTATAGATGCGAAGTTTTACCTGGACCGGTCCGGCAATTTAATTGTCTAACCTGATTTTGGTGTTGACAGTTACTTGAGTTAGACTTTCTTACGGTCCCATCCAGATGGTTTGATTTATCACTGACCGTTATCACTAAGGGTGAGATAAACACATTGAACAATCTAGTTGGGGAGCGATAGCTCTAGAAAACCCTGTAGGTATTAGCCATTCTACAAGTTCCCAACAAATTAACACTTTTCTGGAATACTTAGATTATTTCCGGCAAGAAGCATAATTTGTAACATGTTCGACGGACCTAAATTCTTCGCTTGGGGTTCGCGAAACCGTTTTGGCCATTAATGCCATGATGATAAATTTTCATAACATTTACATTTCTGATCGGTTCTTGACGTTGCCTGTAGTGCAGTACATTTTCCACGACGAGATGACCACTACGTCAAACAGAACGACCAGGCAGCTTCAACGCGATACATTAGTAATACTGTTTAGATACAAGCTTTACACGTTTGTATATTTTAGGTAGTACTTGACCGGAACTTGACCCAAACTTAAATCCTTTACATCAGTGTTTACCTTCACTTTCTCATAGGTGATTGCTATGAATGGGGTGCAACTACGTACGTTTGAAAATCCTGCGTGGGCTACCATATTCAATATTGTCTTTGAAGATTTCGCGATATCAGACTCTATAGTAAACAATACGTGTCCTCTCGATGTAATGACTATTCGTATAAATGATTATTAGTGGCCGCTATTCCAGTTATTATGTAAACCCATTCTGGGTGTAAACCGTGGAAAAGACGACATTGAACACAGCGACGCAGCAAGGGTTCGTGATCAACTTAAATACATTAAAAAAAAAAAACATTTAAAATAAAAAACATCTCTTTTTTTTATTATAGTATATTAGCGATGACGGTTATCGGTCTAGTAGCACAGGAACTATGTTAGCCTCTATTGCTCGCGGCGACCATCCCACGACTAATTCTGTCTATTAAAGTTTCGTATCTTATGCAATTGCGTTCAAGTTGGACAACTTACTCGCTAAGACGGCAGTCAGTTAGCGTTCTCGACGTAGACGTGCTAACAAAACTAGACGTTTCGAAAGCACGCCGTACATTGAAATAAGCATAAAACGTTGCCTTTTATGGTATTTTCCTTTAAACCTGCAAAGAAACGCAAAGTCGACGCTTGCAGTACTAAAGTCGACCACAACAAAAACATTAGCGGCGCTATGCGATAGAGGCACAGGTTTTCGACATTGAACATTATATGCGATGGAGTACAAAATGACGTTCCCTACACAAAACGGCCACTTCAATGAAGCTTCCAGAGTTTATTTATGGCACGATGCAATATTGTTCGTGTAGTAAAACAACTGATTGTAACTGTTCCAATTGTATAAAGTCATTTTTACTGAAGAGACATTGCTTGAACAATATCTGGCAGTTAGAAAATATGTATAAAAATGTCGCTATTTCGCCGTAGCTTTTGCTGTTGTTTCATATGTATATATATATCTATATATACACGTCCAGCATTTATAAGTGCACACACGTACTTACTGCTTGTTTACGTGATCAACTATTTTCTTTGATTGCTAAAAAGTGCGCTCTGTGGGATAACAGGACGACAGAAACTACGTTGATTGTCTTACTACGTATCTTTACTAGCTATCTCCTGCGGGAGTCGGAATGAAGTGGTCGTGAACAACGTATGATCTTACCTTCTTTTAGCCAGTTAAATTGATTTAAACTAGACGACTATAGTTATTTTCGTTCGCATTAACGACCATCAACGTCCCGAAGTTGAAACGGTTGTTGTAAAAACTTGCGTTGTTAAAACTTGCCACGGTCAATCAAGCACAAGGGGCGTACGGTAGCATCGGGGCCGCACTCTACAACAGGCTCTGCCCAGAAATCCGAAGCATGATTTGCTTGAATAATTACGAAATAATTGTATCTTGAAGTGACCTGATGAGCGACCATCATAGTGGAAACGAGATGACTGAGCAAATTCAGCTCCACCTCTAGGTTCTGATGCCGCTGACCGCTACAAGTCGACTCGGAAAATTCCATATGATACTATTACGCTAGCTTAGAAAAAATTAGATGTTTATTGTGATTTTTGCGGATGCAAATATGCGTGTTCGAACACATTACAAGGCGCGGTAGCTCCTAATGCGCCATGTTTTCGTCACATATATTACCCGAGAAAAGCAAGCTAAGACAATATTAACAGTAAATTTATTCAATTTTACGCCTTGTATTCTTTGATAGTGTAAGAAACAGTGAGCAAACACCTTCAAGTGAACATCTTTTACTGCCTACTCGGCGAGCCTTGTTTTAGAGACTATGTAATAGGGAATAAGAACTAGATATTTAATGTAGAACATAATTAAACTTCGGAACCTGTCAAGAGGCATCTATTTGATGACAAAAAAAAGGACACGTTTGAGCCTACCTTACATGATTTCCAGAATGATTTTGACATTCAACCGACATGTGATGTAACACAAAGTAGTTGTGGAAAACGTCTACATGGCTCGTAACCGTTCAGGGATTTCCCTACCTTCACGTTAAGTGAACTAACGCTCACACTTTGGGCACACAACTGATTGAGAAACGTACTCGTCCTACGCTCATGTAGCCGTGAGTCTCTAAGACATTTCAAAATTCGCATCACCAGGGTCTCATCGCAAATATCTCGCTTATACTCTTACTCTTGGCTATAAACAATGGCGACCGATCGTGCAGGTAGATTTTGATCGAACGACACTTCCCTGATGTAACTACTGTTTTTCTACGAACTTTTACCCAAGGTCCGCGGTGCATTTCATCATCGAATCGTATGTCGTGTTACACAAAGGAAGTCGAGCCAGGGAGCCTTGGTATAGTTTTATGACTCGAGCCGACCAAAAATTAAAAAACAATGGTACTCAACTCGTTACCAGTGAAGTTGACCTGACCTTTCTGCTAAAATCGAACACTTTTGCCCACGGTAAGTATCGTTTGGGTGGCCATCCAAATTATGCCGCCCCAACTCTGCCGTTCCCAATGGCCTTATTTTGTGGCCCGTCTCTCGTTCGTTCGAGATCACATTCGTCTTTTATTAGTACTGATGCATGGTAGTGACGATAGGTGTATGCGGTCGGCTAAAATTATCTGCCGTACAACATTGTCGATGGGATGAGACTTGTCGATCACAGCATCTGTACGGCGGTAGCGCAGTGTTTATTTCGCCCAAAAACACCAGCATAACCAATGGGTCACCAGTTGCTGATCTATTCGATGCTACCCTTCTGTTTTGCAGTCGGCAGCAGTAGCAACTGTAGACGTACGGCCTTGCCTTTTGGCCAGACGATTCCGTTCGACAAATGCTACCTAGCGAAAGAAGCAGATCGTCGGTGTAGTACCAGCGTAGGAAACTACGAACAATTATCATCCCACTCGATTGTATTTAGACAATACCGTTCTCAGTTCTTTCGTGTCAACGCATGCTGCGCCTGCTCACGCAGCCCGAATGAACGTTGAATGCACTTGCTTCTTCTAGTCAACGAGTTTCTTTGGCAGGCCTTTATTAGTCGTATAGCTTAACAATGCAACGAACGAAGATGTCTACTGAAGCGCCTCTTTTCACGCTGGTGTCCTTCGGCGTCTCACCGCGTGATAGGCCACGGATGGCTGGCTAGACGCGGACGCACACTGCCCCGACATTGCGATACACTGTAAAACAAAGTGATTACAAGAGGATGAAGGTCTTCTAGTTTCTTGTTGGTTTTTCCTTATTTTTCCATTGACCGACAGGTCAGTATCCAGTAGGATAAATTCAGGTCGCCTCGCTGGCACTTCTTATGAGGCTGATCGAGTCTCGTGATGGAGGGCTGCTAATCATCTTGAAGTGATGCAACGTTTTTGATTCGGCCAAACTAGATGTGCACACACGCACATCTGCATACATGTACTAAAAAGCAAGTGTAAAGGTGTGGCCTTCTCTCATATTATCTGTTATGCTCACATATATGCCGATAGCGCGTGGTCATGTTGTAGGAAATGTATAACAATGCAAGCAGGTTTTTTTTTTTGATAGAGCTGACATGAAGTCTTGCTTTTCTATTAGGGAAATTGCTCTCATATTGTTAGACTTGTTCGTTTCGGAATGTCTTCGTCCCGGGGAAGATAAAGGGAAGCCTCGAAAAGACTAGGTAAGGCACCTATACACACATGTACTAACAAAGAAGATCTTTCAGCCATCCTAATTAGCCTGCACGTGTTATGAGTATCGCGTCAGTCAACGAAGCGATCTGTTTTAACTGTCGCTTTATATTCGTCTCGCTCGATTAACAAAATCATTGTAATCGCACTACAAATGAATCAGTACGATACGGGCTGCTCTTACAGCTACTGTTTCAACGGCGACTTCGGCGAGTGATGGCGAACTTCGTTTGCAAACCATAAACCGTTGGTCTTCGCCAATTAATCCACATACGTTCTCTATTACGTTCATTTGTTAAGTAAACAGCATAACAACTGCATTCAGGCTCTCAGCGTTTATCATAAACCTAGTATGGCTAATACCACAAGTACTATTAGAATGGTAGTGTGCCATCTGCTACCTATGACAGGTAGTGGCGATGCAGTATCAGCTAGGTATAGCAAAGTCTGTATCTTGTCTTCTATCGGAGTGTCTAACTTCTATGAGGATAGGAACAAGTACTTCCGATACAACTTGCGTTACAATGGCATCGTCAGCTGCGCGTGTCCCAACGCTACATATGTATGTGTTCATAATTTACAATTAAATATGGTGTTGCTCAACGATTTCCGTGAACTCGAGCTGAGCTCAGGGTCGAAATTGTTATTTCGAAAAAGAGAGCGGAGACTGTAGACATTAGGTCGAGACAACGAACAGCGTTATTGCCTATGTGGGCGGGTCTCCACTCGGCAGATGCTGTCGGCGCTGCTATTGTCACCGTCGTGCCCTGCAAGCTCTTGTAAGTGACGAGAGATCCATCTGTTTGTCATGTCATCGGGATGAGCAGGGTGAACTCGTCGCCAATTGCCTTGCTTGTGTTACGCCTACCTGCCTACTGCATTGGTTAGCAGTCAGAAACTACAATGCCCTGGACAAGTCTGGCCCATAGATGGTGGCCAGAATAGTTCAGCTGGGTTAACGGCTTGCTCCGATGTACGTTGGAGGTCAAACAGCACAACGGTGTAGAGGAACGTGCGCACCTGGTAGAAGGCAATGTTGCCATCACCGCAAGCGGGCAACAGTACTAGTAGCAGTGAATAAGCAGCCCGTTTAGAGCTACGTGAACGTAATGGCACTAGTTCTTCTCGGCTGTAGTTACCAGCGTCTGCACCGCCAATGCCACTTTTCTACCGCAACGGGGCAACTCTAACGGACGATGATGCGCTAGCATCATACTACCCGACAGATACTAAAGGCGTTTGTTCGAGTTAGCCGATATGCTTCAGCGTTACTATCTGCTATCAGCCCGTCTATTCGCATGCCTTCGTTCGATTGGTCTTAGAATGCGGCATATAATATGAATAGCGGCTGTCTAGTTGCTCATGTAATGCCTTCACTCAGTGTAAAGCCCAGGGGGTAAAAGCATATAAAGCGCTTGAAGGTTAGGAAACCGCCAGAACTGTGGCAGCGGCCGCTGCCGCTGGTTGCTAGTAAGGCGCTCGGTCAGGCAGCTACTGCTATCGCTGGTACGGCGTTTAACCGTCGAGGCGTTGAGCTGAGCGACCGCGCATCTAGCAAGTTAGCTGACACAGCGGCCTCAGATAGATAAATCGGCATACACAACAATCAATGTAATAGAACAGAAAAAAAAAGAAGCCCTGCCGCCGCGATCGTTTCGCTGCAGTGGTGATTATTCTAGTAGTTGTATTTTAGTCGCATAAGCAGCCATCCCCGTAGCTAAACTTCGAGAAAGATTAGCGTCCTGAGATGCTGTTCACCAGCTACAAGCGCTGTTTGCGCTCAAAAGTAACACAAAACTCTGTACAAGAAATAAGCTGCTTACCGTCGCACCTCAGCTTTCATAAGGTCGTCACATATTAAGTTGATTCGCCGGTCGCCGCCCATCGCTTTTGCCGTTTGCTCGATCAGCTCCAAGCGTTGTGGCGCCCCCAACAACAATGAGGTGGAACCCACTCCCACTTACTGATGTTTGCTGGCGGTGGCTTTAGTAGCAGCAGCAGTTATGGCAATAAAGTTTACATGGGGAGTATGAAAGCGCACGTCCACCAGAGCTGGTTGTGCTCGCTGTGGTTCATGTGTGACGAAGACAACGATCATTTCCTCTTTATTTTTGTTGAGCTTGGACTCGAAGTTCCTGCATGTTGTGGTCACTTCTTTTGCATAGATGTATGTAGCACTATCACAGTGTCGCATTAGCGCAGCAGTGCCGCAGTTGAATCTTTTGCCATTCTCTAGACAAACGACCGTATACGTTTATCAACATACGTATGAACATACTCTCGTCCGTTCTAGCATTCAGATCGGTAGACAGGCAAACGTGGCGGCGCTTATGACTGTGGTGCTCGCCGCCGTCGTTTGTTTCGTGAGCATTTAAAGTTAAGGACGCGCTCACCGTTACGGTATGCGCCGGCGATTTCGCGGCCACCGAATGCCGCGGCAACAATCTCGAGCCTCCGGCGCCGCTGTCGCCTCAGCTGAAGCCAACTGCTTCCGCTGCCTTACTACGATTCGGGTCAGCTCGCTGCAACTGCCGTTAGTTAGTTGATCGTCTCTAAACCCTCGGACAGAACCTAGTAGTACAAGCATCATCCTAAGCGACCTGACTGCAATCAATAGGAGGAAAAAACAGTGTATTATCGATCAACCAACCGTAGGCCAATGGACAGAAGTACGGCCAAAACTTTTCGACGCATCGACATGTGCAATAACCATACTTAGATGACTACTTGAAAGAAAAACGGGTGTGATAGACAAAGCGGAACTAGAGAGGGAGAGAAAGAAAATTTGCATTGCATCATCAGTAGCCGCAGCTGTCCTCGTTGTCGGCAGCAGTACCATTAATTGTCTCGGTCTGAAGTAGGAAGAAACGTAGTACGAGTGTGGTACTATCAGTAGTAACAAAAAGGTTTGACGAGACATGTATAGAAAGGCGTGCCATTGCCGCTCTGACTAACAAAGGTCACACACTTGATCAGTGGCCATTTCCTGCACTACATAGCAGACCTATAAGACGTACTAGCAGCTGAAGAGCGAGCAGCCGCCACATCCATAAGATTTTTGTTATGACTCAGCAACGTTGGTACAAACAGCAGCAGCAGTAGTAGCAGTAGTATTCATTGTCCTGTCCTTGCTCCGTCCAGCATGCTGGCAAGTCAGCCCCTTCCTGCCCAGATCCTTCTGCCCTTTGGCGTTTTCCTTTTTCGATAGTGCCTGATGCATTATATTACCAGTGCTCGTAGCGGTAGAAGTCTGTATGCCGATTCAATGGTGTCGAGCATGGCAACGATGATCGATTCCTGCAAGTAACCTGGAAAAAGTAGCAAAATCCTTTGAGAAAACTACAACAAATATCAAAGGGAAAATCTAAGCATAGCCACATTCAGATAAAATGTGTCAATACCATCGAAGTTGTTTGCGTACCAGTATTTTGCAGTGTCAAGAAAGGGAAAATGGGACGTAATTTGGCAACTATATGTAGGATGTCATTTATGTAAATTTCACTATACTCTTTCCTTTTTCTAGCTAACATTCAGCGGTCATAAGCTATACTATTCTATATAAAGATCAAGGAACGACTGTGAATGTCTAGCAATAAAGACTTTGTAGATCTTGAATTCAGCTATCGCGTTCACTCGTACCGGAAGACGTCAGAAGATGTGGTTTTATTTGGAATGCCTTTAATCCTTTTACAGCTTAGTATTGGCTTTAGATCTACTAAATAAAGCTTATAGACAACAATCATTTCAATCTAGCTTGCTGTTGTAGGTCCTGGAGTCCGCGGAGCAAAACGAGTCGGGCCTTCTTGTATTCTCAAACCCTCGCCAGCTGACTTGCCCTTCCTGAGAAAGGCCGAGGGTAGAACCTCGGTATATAAACCTGTTCTCATGTACAATTGCTAGAGTGGTCGTGGCTGCATGTGAGTGTCTGTGGTTCCCATTATGTGTGATTGTCACCACCTAGACGGCAATGGCGATGTAGCATCGTTCGTACGAATGCTATTATATAATATACTGAACTATTCGAACGATACTGACCTTTTGAGTTTGTTCTGTTGTGTGTTCTCGTATGGAGGAAGTGTATTAAGTTCGGTTGGCAATTGCCTACTCCAGCTACTTCGACATCTATGGATATTTACCGCAGTGTTTATACCTAATCATCCGGGGTGGTGACAATACTGGGAAAGTGTGCTATAGCTTTGTGTGATCAAACGAGGTTAAGAAGGTGGCGAAGAAGGTTGTGTTATTTACCGATTATGGCGCTTATTTTTATTTCCATTGTTATCTTTTGTTGTGTTAGCTATTGTGCTGTTGTTATTCTTGCAGAAAAACCACGGAGCTCCCTTCTCGTCACACAACGTTGCTCCATAGTTAAGTTACACCCAAGTAGCCGAGATGGCGGCACAAGATCCCGATCCTACCGAGTACCTTTTCGTCTCTGCGGAGATGAAGAGGAAGGACGCTACGAAACCGTACGATGGCAAAAAGATGACTTGGGTTCCCGATGAGAAGGAGGGCTTCGTGATTGGTAACATCGAGTCCACTCAAGGCGACAAGGTCGTCGTTGAAACTCCTGACGGCAAGAAGACGTTCAAAAAGGACCAGCTCCAACAGGTCAACCCACCCAAGTACGAGAAATGCGAAGATATGTCCAACATGACCTATCTTAACGATGCTTCTGTACTGCATAACCTAAGGGAACGTTATTACGCCAACCTAATCTACGTAAGTACTGAGTGTGGAACTCCTCTAACTGCTGAATAGCATCTTGTTGTTCAGAACTGAGCTTCTACACACTTATTTTAAGATCCTGCAGCGCCCTTTCCTATTTATTATTTATTTTATTTTTTTAGGGTTTATTGCAATTTTTATTTATTGCAAAAGGTGTTTTTTTATATCCATAGACCAAGTTATCATTATCGGATAATCTTTTTAACTCTCCAAGATTTTGGTGGGCCCTCGTAGAGGGCAAACTTGTCTATTTTTCGTGATAGCTTAGATTGGTTGCTTTAGTCTAATTTATGCTAGATTAGGAGTTTAACAGCGCATTTCAAAATCACTATTTACTTTGTAACTTATACATGGCCTGTGAATGCTGACGCGCTGGATGTTATTGGTTTTCGTTTTCAGACGTACTCGGGTCTCTTCTGTGTCGCCATCAACCCGTACAAGAGGTTCCCCATTTACACTCCTCGTGCCGTTATGATCTACAAGGGCAAGAGGAGAACAGAGGTGCCGCCCCATGTGTTCGCCATCTCCGACGGTGCTTATATGCACATGCTTACGGGTGAGTAGAGATCACCATTTTATCATTCATCAGTGCATACCGCTCTAGTCATGAATCGTTTGAGCCATATGAGCTTTTGTTCGTTTGTTCGATAGCCCGACAGATCAAATTCGACCTCGAACGGCTTTTCAATACTCATCTTCGACCAACTAAAGCATCATCTTTATGACTTGTCAAGCAAATTTGTCGACAATTAGTCTAACGGAAATGTTGGTTTGGCCAATATTTTCTAGTTAACAAAAAGTGGGCTTGCAATTTGCATAGGCACAGTGCGCGTCCCACAAATGAATTTTTTCTATCCTGAACTTGGCATTTGCGTGATCATCAACGCGATGGGAATTGTGAGATTATAGACTACCAATTTAATCTGTATTTCTAAGTTTTCGATAACTGTTTCTCGAAGGCATAACTTAGCGCTAATTCGCTGCGATTTCTGCTGACCATAGCATTGTGACATTGAGGACTCTGCTCAAGTCGAACCCGACTCTGCAGTTGTTATAGTAGTTGCCTTTAGCTGTTGTGGGCAATAGCCAGACTATAAACGGTGAAGCACAGTGCCGAACATAATCTAGAAACGATAGCAATCGTGAAGGATGGCTGGAAGGACCTGTCATGGGGTGGAACCTCGGCTGTCTCTTTGGCTTTAAAGCTCGGCCTAAACGTTCTACGCCGTTCGACTATTGGGCGCAAGATCTCAGATGGCCTTCAGGTTCTTGTAAGCTTCGCTCGTCTGGACGTGGACTGTACAGATTCACTACCAGTACAAATTACAGGTCGACTGAGCTTTGTCGGTGCTACCGTCATTTAAAATAGAAGTAAGCCACCTGAAGCGAGTGGTGCGGGCGGTAGATACTGATTAAGATCTAATCTCCACCCTTATGACCGCCGTTGTTTTTCGAGAGCTGTTGAAGTACGACGTTATTATTAGATGATATGTTCATAAATCTCCGCGCAGGGCCACTCAGAGCATCGGATGGCGATTGCCTATTTTATAAGGGCAATTGAAGCAAACAAACCCTTACTACCTCTGATGCTAGGACACCGTTACGTCTAACCAAACGGCAAACAACATTTGTGCTATTAATCTTTCTTACTAAATTTTGATTTATTTTCCAGATAACGAAGATCAGTCCATGCTGATTACGTAAGTACTTGATTAATATTTAGGTGATATATAGTAGTTTTGGCTTAGGTTTTCAAAATGTGTCTTTGGAAATCTAATTGAAAGTAGGCATTGCTCTGGATCCTTTTAATTCCGCGGTAACTGAATGACGAAAAATTCGCAGCACTTTCGTTTTAAGGTCGATAATAACAGGATATCAATAACAAACAATTAGTATTTGATATATAAGCCAATAACCGGTAAAAAGTATCTTACACTTGCTTACCTTCGCCCAAGACGAAGCCATTTTTAAACCGAAAAACTTACTAATAACAGTATTGTATTATTATTAACATTAATTGGCCCGATTACACAATATAAACTGTGTAGTTTGAGGTATTTTATTTTCGAGACGACGTTTTCGGGAAAAATTGTTGCAAGTAAGTTCGCAAGACTGCAAAAAACTGCACAAATAATAATAGGCAACGGTTGTTGTTTTTACGAATTATACCGAAGATATAAAATGCAAATACACGTACCAATAGTTGAAAAGTATAACCGTAATAGTTGTTAGATCATAAATAGTGTGACATATAGATGGATAGGATGAAAATTAGAATTTTATACTGTGCAAACAGGTAATCAAACACGTTAAGTTATTCGACTGTTTTTTTTTTCTTTTTTCATATTTTCCTTTCCTTACTATAAATACCTAGATTTGTGACGGGATGCTGAAAATGATTGGATTCTTATTTGTTATTTGTGAAATGTTTAAGAAATATTGCTTTTCCCAGTGTTCCTCAACGAAGACAGTCTAATTTAATACTGAGATAGCTCGCGAACTATCTATACCTAGCCACCCTTCCAATGCGATGTAACGAAATAGGCTTATCAGGAATATATAGCATTGCGATTCGAGACGTTTGACAAAATTCTATTGCACTTACGAAGGCAAAAGCCGATAAAAAGCTATATATTGTTGTTATGTTATGCTACCCTGTATTTTACAGCTTCAAGCTTACGATTTACTTCGAAATCATCTTCCTAGATTGCTTATATTTTGGCGGGAAGCCAAAGGCTTAACATTTTCTGTTAACATTCATCCATTGTATTGGTATCTCACATGGTGTTTAGCTTTTACCGATAGTTTGTTCGCGTAAACGAAAATTATTTGAATCGCTATATGCTGCTCGCATGTTGTATGAACTGTTGCCGCCTTTTCTTTCCTCCACCAGAGAATGAAATTGGTGGTGACGTTAGAAATTACTCGTTCGTTGAAAATTCAGAGTAACTGCACAGGTTACGTGACTAGCTTTTAGGGACCGTCATTTCAGATGTAGATGGAAAGCACGCTTGGAGAATATGGTTGAAGTAAAACTTACATTTCATCATTTGGAAAATTGCTTCACAGCGGTGAGTCCGGAGCCGGAAAAACCGAGAATACGAAGAAAGTGATCTCGTACTTTGCCAATGTCGGTAAAAGTGAGAAGAAAGCAGATGCGGACTCCAACAAGCCGTCGCTCGAAGATCAGATTGTGCAAACCAACCCTGTACTTGAGTCATTTGGTAACGCTAAAACCACCCGTAATGATAACTCTTCCCGATTTGGTAAATTCATCCGTATTCATTTTGGCCCTACCGGGAAACTGGCAGGTTGCGATATTGAGACGTACCTGCTGGAAAAAGCTCGTGTGATCTCTCAGCAGCCACTTGAGCGTTCTTACCATATCTTCTACCAACTGATGTCTGGCAAGATCCCTGACATGAAGAAAAAGCTCCAATTAAGTGACAACATAAAGGACTACTATTATGTAGCTCAGGGCAAACTGGAGATTCCTGGAGTCGATGATGGAGAAGAAATGGGCTACACCGATGAGGCCTTTAATATTTTAGGCTTCTCGCCAGAGGAGAAGGATGGCGTGTACCGCATCACAGCCGCTGTCATGCATTTCGGTACAATGAAGTTCAAGCAAAGGCCTCGCGAAGAGCAGGCCGAAGCCGATGGTACCGAACAAGGCGAAAAAGTGGCTGCGCTTTTGGGTCTCGTTGGAGCTGACTTGTACAAAAACCTTTTGAAGCCCAGAATTAAGGTCGGTACCGAGTTTGTGACCAAGGGTCAGAGCCAGAACCAGGTCATGTCTGCTATCGGCGCCCTATCTAAGGCCATGTTCGATCGTCTATTCAAATTCCTCGTCAAGAAGTGTAACGATACTCTTGATACCAAGCAGGCTCGTAAACACTTCATCGGTGTACTTGACATTGCCGGTTTTGAGATCTTTGACTACAACGGCTTCGAGCAGCTCTGCATCAACTTCACCAATGAGAAACTGCAACAGTTCTTCAACCACCACATGTTCGTACTGGAGCAAGAAGAATACAAGAGAGAAGGAATTGATTGGGTTTTTATCGATTTCGGTCTTGATTTGCAGGCCTGCATCGAGCTGATTGAAAAGCCCATGGGTATTTTGTCCATCCTTGAAGAGGAGTCCATGTTCCCCAAAGCTACTGATAAGACCTTTGAGGATAAACTGAACAGCCAGCATCTCGGAAAATCGGCTCCGTTCCAGAAACCCAAGCCACCGAAGAGCAAGGAAATTGGCCCTGCCCACTTTGCTATTGCCCACTATGCTGGTACTGTATCCTATTCTATCACTGGCTGGCTCGAGAAAAACAAGGATCCCCTCAACGATTGCGTCGTCGATCAATTCAAAAAGGGCAACTTGGCTCTCTTACAGACTATCTTTGAAGACCATCCCGGACTCGGTGGCGATGCCAAGGCTGAGGGCGGCGGCAAGGGCGGTGGCCGCAAGAAAGGTTCCGGCTTCCAGACGGTGTCCGGTCTTTATAGGGTACGTACATAATTATGCCTAATCGTGTTATTACTCCTAATAAATAAACCCCAAGATATCGATTCCTGGATCTTCCTTTATATACAAGAACACTATTATGCAACGTATCGAAATAACTCTACCGGCAATAGTTTCATAGACTTACTTCATTAATAAAATGCGATGATATATTGAGAAGTTTATAAATGTATATTTGGCGCACACCAAATTATTATTCGTTTTGAATGGCTTCGAACACAGGAACAACTGAATAAGCTGATGCACACCCTGCACTCGACTCACCCCCATTTTGTGCGTTGCATCATCCCCAACGAGTTGAAGAAGCCCCGTGTCATTGACGCCCACCTTGTCATGCACCAGCTGACTTGTAACGGTGTGCTTGAAGGTATCCGTATTTGCCGTAAAGGCTTCCCTAATAGGATGGTGTATCCTGACTTCCGTCAGCGGTAAGTTTACTGCTATAGGACGAGACAAATGGAATCGGATTATAATGTTTTTGCGTTGTTCTGTCCCATATAGCTTACTAACAATTGCGCTATATCGCAGTTACACGATTCTTGCGCCCAACGCTGTTCCTAAGGACTTTGCTGGAGAGCCTAAGGAGGCTGGAAGCTTGCTGATTAGCAACACTGGCCTCGACAAGGACGAATACCGCATTGGACTGACCAAGGTGCGATATTATCTAACAGTATTTTTACCTTCCCAGCTACGCGATCCTCGCTGCTCAGGAAGCTACAAAGCACGCCAAGCCTAACGACGCTACGGCTGCTGTTATTAGCGCTATTGGGCTCGATAGGGATGAACACCGCTTCGGTGTCACAAAGGTAGAGCGCCGTTCAGCTACGGCATCTGCGTTGTATGTTCGACATGTCTTTTACGGTTTCCGTCGGCTGCTTTTCTGTCGCTCAAACCATAATTGAACCCACATCTTAAGCGACCTGATTATCTGTTCCCCGTATGGCGCAATATTTATGTTATGTGTTAACCGAAGCTGTGCTAAGCTGTACCGCGGTAAATTCACTTTATCTGCCGACGTCATACTTGCCATGTTCCTGGTAACATGCTAGGGTGCTGGTTTCGACATCGGGCAGTTCGAAGGAGTGCCTGCGTTCAAGCCGGAGTTCATATAATGCTCTTAGTGAAGTTAATCTCTGGGCCAGTCAATGTATGTTGTAGTTTGTTCGTACAATAAATGCTAACCGAATGTTTAAATTCAGTTGAAAAGCTGCCTTGAGCAAGACTTACGTTATTGGAAAGATACAGAATTAGCTGCTTTCATAAGTGGCGGTTATGATTGCATGTTTATAGCGTTAACATTCTATACTATTGATATTAGATATTCTTCCGTGCCGGTGTTCTGGGTCGGCTTGAGGAAATGCGCGACGAACGTCTGGCCAAGATCATGACCATGATTCAGTCGGCCTGCCGTTGGTATCTCTGTAAAAAGCACTTCGAGAAGCTGAAGGAACAGCGGTGAGTATCTAAAAGACCTATTAGCACGTCCCGTTTTTTTTCCGTAGCATAGTGTATTATTAGTACTGACTGGATCTTCATTGTAAACTTCTTGTACCCTGTCGGTGCTTTCGGTTGCCGTTGAATAATTTTTACAGTAGATGAATTAAAATCAATTTAAGCTCTTCTTCGTAACGCATGCGTACAAGATCGGGATTAGCAGTATCTAGATTACAGTCATTTGTTGCGGTAAAAACTTGCTGGTGGATTGTGGTGAACCTATAAATAAAGGAGGATTTATACTTTCATGGAAGAAACATGGGTGTTGATTTAGATTTCTGACACAGGCACAAACCCAAACAAACAGGACAAAATGCCTATTACTTCGGTAAAATCTTGACGCGAACTTCTTTTTTTGGCTTCACGTTGTTTTATAGTGTATAATCATTGAAAAATATATAGGAATTAGTATAGAAATTAATGAAACGTAAATAACTATTATATGTTACATTGCATTTTATCAAAAACATTTTAAGCACATAATTGGTTGGCATAGTAGTAATGTTTAAAAAATTTCAGACAATTCATAGTTGCCTTCTTCGAGCTGCTTAGCTATTATCGCATATTATGAGCTGTTTATGCCGTACGTCGACTTCCCTTGATTATTTTCAAGTCCTCAAGCATCTTTACTAACATGTTCATCTCTTTGCAGCGTGGCTCTAAAGGTTCTTCAGCGCAACCTTCGGCAGTTTTCTCAAATGCGCAACTGGGCCTGGTGGAAGCTCTTCACTAAAGTCAAGCCTATGCTCACCATGGTTAAGGCTGAGGATGAGCTTAAAGGTCAGCAGAATTCTAGATTTTATTTATTTCATCTTCTCTATGCATTCATTTCACTGGTTTAGGTAGAAAAGACATTTTCTAATACCCCTTCTGCCCGCAATGCCGGTCTGAAATTAGATAATAATTATCGTTAAAACTGGATTTGGCTTAAGTTCCTCAGGTTCTGATCCCGCAACCCCACGTTCTATCTTACTCGCGCGTTCCATTAAATATCGCGTGATAAATTCCAAGATTAGTGTTATGTAATTACACATACGTGTACAGCGTGTGTATGACCCAACTATTTTTGTCGTAGGATGAATGAAATGTTATTCCTTACATTCTAATACCACCCTTAGAGATTATCCATAAAATTCTGTGAAATTGACCCGTCAATTCTTATTACCCGTTACAAATCTGATCACAAAGGATCATTTGTACGCTCAGGATATAGCTAATTGTCAGCGTATACACTAGCATAAAACACACATGCAAATCGAAAATGTCATAGTTACTGGGCTAAAAATGTATAGAAAAAAAAAACTGTTTTAAAAACAGATGATTCGTTGGCAATATTATAAAAAGCAAAACAATCGTTAGAAAAAAAAAGAGAAATTGATCATTTCAGATGCATTTAACGGGTTAAAGTATATAAACATATAAGATTTCGCAGAACCGCAAATTCATTAAATTTAATGAAATCACCTTAAAGCACATTCATAAGTTCAATATATTGTATCCAATAAATATCTAGTAGGTAAGCAGATATGACTGTGGCGAAGTATTTGGATGCTACATGATTCTATGGGGGGTCTTTAGAATTCATTTCTAGATATGGCGTTTGAGTCCCACATTTCAAAATCAATAAAGGCTAGAGAGGAAGCATCTGTACCTCTAAGATGATATTTCATGTTAGATACACTCTAGACTCATAGAAAACATCTGGTATGAGCTTGAAATGTTTACTATAAAATGCTGAAATATAATGATGATATGGGGTGGTAAGCATTTTTTGGTGAATTGCTATTCAAGTTTACGTTAAATGAAACTTGCAGAAGAATCTATTTTATAATATTTTCATCTTATTCATTTTCTTTCCTATATACTAAATACTTGAGCGTTTGTCATGACAGCTCTTGAGGATAAGCTAAAGGAGGAATCCGAAAAACTGGCCAAGGAAGAGAAACTGCGTAAGGAACTGGAGGAACAAAACACTAAATTACTTCAGGAGAAAAACGACTTGTACATGCAGCTTGAAAGTGCCAAGGGTGGAGCCGGCGATCTTGAGCAACAGCTCAGCAAAAGTGCCGCGCAGAAGAAGGAACTTGAGAGACAAATCAAAGATTTCGAGGAACGTCTGTCCCAAGAAGAAGGTACTGCCCAGAAACTGAATCAGACAAAGAAAAAACTTGAAAGTGACATTCAAGGCTGCAAGAAGGAGATTGAAGAGCTCAGCATGAATTTGCAAAAGGCAGAGCAAGACAAGCAAACTAAGGATCACCAGATTCGCTCCCTTAACGATGAAATCAAACGCCAGGAGGAAATAGTTGCCAAGATAAACAAAGAGAAGAAACAACTACAGGAGCAGAATGGTAAGACCTCTGAGGACCTCAGTGCCGCAGAGGACAAAATCAATCACCTAAACAAGGTGAAGACTAAGCTGGAGCAGTCGATTGATGAACTTGAGGATTCTCTGGAGCGCGAGAAGAAGTCTCGTGCTGATCTCGAGAAGTCCAAAAGGAAAATTGAGGGTGACCTTAAATTGGCTCAGGAAGCTGTCGCCGACCTCGATCGGGCGAAGAAGGATTTGGAAGCTGCTGTACAGCGCAAGGATAAGGAGATGGCTGCAGTGCAAACGAAACTAGAAGAGGAGCAGTCTCTTATTGCCAAATTACAGAAACAAATCAAGGAACTTCAACAGCGTGTCACTGATCTTGAAGATGAGCTTGAAGCCGAGCGTCAGGCCCGTACCCGCGCTGAGCGCGCCCGCCAAGAGCTGTCTCGCGAAATCGAGCAGTTGTCTGAACGACTTGAAGAGTCCGGCGGAGCTACATCTGCACAGGTGGAAATGAACAAACGCCGTGAGGCAGAAATGGCCAAACTGCGCCAAGAACTGGATGAGGCTAAAAGCCAGGGTGAACAAGTGGCAAATGCCCTCAGGGCTAAGAATAATCAGATAGTCCAAGAGATGACGGAAGCCATTGACAACCTCACGAAAGCCAAATCCAAGTAAGATACATACATAACTTGAAACTCATGTTTTATTATTACAAAAATCTTTCTTTATTGATATAATTTGTATATGGCGTGCACTCAGATGTGGATGTAATGTGTTTTCATGATATTTAAATTCGAAAGTGCCTCGCGTTAAGTGTGCTAAGATGCGTATTTTGACAGCAGTCTAAATAAAATCTAACATCTAAAATTTCTTCTTATCGCAGAGCTGAAAAGGACGCCATGAACTTCAAGTCCCAAGTAAACGACCTGCAGAGCTCTTTGGATCACGTCAGCCACAAACAGGTATAGCACACTTAAGCATAATTCTTCTGCCAAATATATAAATAGTTTTTAACTATAATTCGTATTTAATTTACTTATTTTAAAAATAAGTTTGCAGGAGCAATATATATTTTTCACCTGTGGAACCTGTTTCGAGTACTATATTTAGCTCCATATGAGCAATATACATAAGAAATCAATAATAATTGCAAATAACGCAAATTTGCATTGTTGGCAATATGTCTGTATACATAAAGGGATCACACAAGCAAAGCACACAGTAACGAAAAAGGTGTCATTTCAGTCAAACGCTGATAGGCAAACCAAGATGATGGAGCAGCAGGTACATGACCTTCAATTCCGTCTGGACGAGGCAAATCGCAGCCTCAATGACTTCGATTCTCAGAAGAAGAAGTTGAACATTGAGAACACCGAGCTGCAGCGCCAATTGGAGGAGGCCGAAAGCCAGATCAACCAACTGAACAAACAAAAGGCTGCCCTGGCTAACCAAGCGGAGGAAGCGAAACGCTCAGCCGATGAAGAGGCCAAGGACCGCAATGGGATCATGAGTAAATATCGTAACATGGAACGTGACTTACAGGTGTTGCGAGATGCTGTCGATGAAGCTGAAGAAGCGAAAGCCGATTTACAGCGCCAGCTATCCAAGGCTAACGCCGATGCTCAACTGTGGCGTGGCAAGTACGAGTCCGAAGGTCTGCTTCGCCTCGAGGAACTTGAGGAAGGCAAAAGGAAACTTCAAGCTAAACTGAGCCACGCTGAAGAAAATGTCGAATCTTTAAACCAGAAGGTCGCTAATCTCGAGAAGACCAAGAACCACCTGCAAGGTGAGGTCGATGATATGCAAGCTGAAGTTGACCGAGCCCAACAGCTCGCCCAGCAGCTCGACAAAAAGCAAAAGTCATTCGACCGCGTCATTGCCGAATGGAAGTCAAAGACTGATAGCCTTGCTGCCGAACTGGAAGACTCGAAGAGGGAAGCGAGAAATTTCTCGACAGAAGTATTCAAGTTGCGTGCTCAGTGCGATGAAGCCCACGAGCACTGTGAGACTCTAAAGAAGGAGAACAAGAATCTCCAGGATGAACTCAAAGAGGTCGTTAATCAGCTAGGCGAGGGAGGTCGCTCATCTCATGAGGTCGAGAAGAACCGTAAGAGGCTCGAGAGGGAGAAGGAGGAGCTCCAACACGTTCTCGAAGAGGCTGAGGCCGCATTAGAACAAGAGGAAAACAAAGTGCTCCGCGCTCAGCTTGAACTTAGCCAAGTGCGACAGGAGATTGAGCGTCGCATCCATGAGAAGGAGGAAGAGTTTGAAAACACTCGCAAGAACCACCAGCGCGCTATAGACTCGATCCAGGCTTCGCTTGAGGCTGAAAGCAAAGCAAAGGGCGAGGCTATGCGTGTTAAGAAAAAGCTGGAATCGGACATCAATGAGCTCGAAATCGCTCTCGATGGCGCCAACCGTTCCAAGGTTGAAGCTGAGAAGAACGCCAAAAAATACCAACAGCAAATTCGGGAGCTGCAGGGCCAATTGGAGGATGAACAACGAAACAACAGCGAAATCCGTGACAAGTACGTCGATGCCGAGCGCCGCGCAAACCAACTGCACGGAACTGTTGAGGAGGCCAAGACTCTGGTGGAGAATGCCGACCGCGCCCGTCGCGCTGCTGAGAATGAGCTGTACGAACTGAAAGAAGCCTGTGGTGACCTTACCGGCAACCACTCTTCTTTGGTTATTGCTAAGAAGAAGCTTGAGGGAGAGATGGCTGCACTTCAGGTAAGATAACAGAATCAATTATAAATCAATTTACCCAACAATATTAGTCCATGTCGTAACGTTCAAATGGAGTTTTCCATCGATAGAGAAAAGGCCAATGTAATTTTAGTTTATATTTTTTAAAGAACTAGTCCGAATTTATAAAACTGATGTTTTTTTTTTCTATTATGAATATTCTTAACGAACACTTTCTTTGCTGTGCGAATATAGAAAGGATCCAATAGCCAAATCTGTTCCTTTTCATCTATCTTCTGCTTCAGAACGATCTGGATGAAATGATCAATGAGTGCAAAGCGTCGGAGGAGCGTGCCAAGAAAGCAATGGTCGACGCTGCCCGTCTGGCCGATGAGCTTCGCGCCCATGCCGATGTCGCCACAAATGCTGAAAAGTCCAAGAAAACTATGGAGGCTCAGATGAAGGATATGCAAGCCCGTTTAGAGGAGGCCGAAAAGGACTCGATAAAGGGTGGCAGGAAATACATTGTCAAACTTGAGAGCAAATGCAAAGACCTCGAGCATGAACTTGAAAACGAGATTCGCAAAGGAGCTGAGCATGCAAGGAGTTCGAAGAAAGCCGAAAGGAGAATTAAAGAGCTGCAGTTCCAGGCTGAGGAGGAGAAAAAGAACTTCGATCGCATGCATGAACTCGTTGACCAGCTACAAAATAAGGTCTCAACTTACAGAAAACAGCTGGAAGATTCCGAGGAAATCGCTTCGATGAACCTTGCCAAGTTCAAGAAAGCCCAACAAGAGCTTGAAGATGCTGACGAGCGTGTTCGCTCAGCTGAGCAACAGATCCAGAAATTGCGCTCCAAAATCCGTAGTGGAACACCCTTGTAGACAAAAGTCTGCTTAGATGCACGATAATGGATATGTAAGTGTATTGCTTCAAATATGTTTGCAAAAGCAGATGATGTAATACTAAACACGGAAGCTAATACAGATACCCGATTCGATTGTTTCTAAAATAGCTGCAGAAGATGATCGAAATTAAGGTAAAAGACACTATATATTATCATATACTGGCGCATTGTATCAAAAGAGGAGCTTGGGCAAGAAGTGACAGGGAGGTTGGCACGCGGCATTTTGAAGTACGTAAGTAGAAACAAGAAAAATAAATAGACTGTAGATCAATAATTCGATCAGCTATACTTTTTCGTTGAATACTAATGTATTCATTATGGCAGTTGCTTAGGAAAAACACACAATCGATGGCTTGACCCGTCCGCCTCTATTGTAATATGGAATGGATTTCATTACTCGTCTCTCGAAGGCGCAATAACGAATAACCAATTAATAAATGGAAGCAGAACTAAATGTTTCGGAACTTTTTATTTAGGATACTTTTGTTATTCTACGTAGGCCACATTTCGAAATTTGAACCGGCTTTGGATGGTAAATTTCTAAATCTTTCTGGCGTCACTGTTAATTAGTTGGTAAGATAATTAGCAATACAGTGGAGAGGAGTCTTTCTAGTTGATATATGTCTACATTAAGGACAGGTTTTCCGGCTTAAAAATGCACATGTACAATAGATGCAGATAAAAATATTCGACAGGCTGTCGATTACCTTTAGATTCACTAGCTGCTGTTCCGCATTAGCTTTTGTAAGCTAAAACGCTTTTAATTGGTTTTCTATGCTAACATCTTAGAGCAAAAAAATGTAAATAATTCATTAAATAGTTTCCACGCGGGCCTTATTCAAAAGTCTGCTACAGTACAGAAGCTTTTATTTGATTTGTTAAATTAATATGCTGTTAAGTATATGTATTGTCGTGTGGTTGTAGAAATGCTTTTTCTTTGAAAAAGGCTATTTATCTTTGAGTAACTGTCATATGAAAAGAGTTTTTGTAATATAAGTACTAAAATCTGGATGTCTGACTGCCTCTCTAAATCACACAGCTGCAACCGAAATCTATAGCACAGGTCGCTTTCCATGCCCCTCTTACATCTTGCCATTAGGGTTCGTACGCAGTAGTGAACGACACATGATGAGCGGCATGGTAGAACTACACCCAGCAAAATATATCCACCAGAGGACAGTGAATGGTGCCTCGTGCTTTGTGACACTTAAGAAGGGCATTCATGCTTCCGGCCAGTTCATATGAGTGAGATGGGAAAAGGGATTCCTCGTAGTAACGATACTTATTTGCGGAAACATAATGCTCCCTCTCGCACCACATCCGTTACCGTCGGCCATCTAATCGGCTTCATGCTCGCCGAGGGCTCGCAAGGGGGAAAAATCGGAAATAGCCATGAGCACGTCGATGAGAGAGAGAGATATGATTCATCCTGTTTCGCCGACTATAGAATCGCAAGGTAGCTTCAGTACACGAGAACAATTCTACATATAGGGAAATAGTCCGATAAGGGCTTGCTAATAGAACAACGAGCTAGTTTTGTCGTACGAATCAACGGGAACAACACGACTATGCTAGGAAGTACCTTCTTTGTTTGTTTGAACCGCAGGTAAGTAGAAGTATGGGGTGTGCTCTAAACGAAGATGCTGAATCTGCGTGAGACCGTTCTCGTCTGACAGGTCGACATAAAGCAACATCGTCTTGTCTGACACTAAAAGCATGCGCTAGTTGTGACAGTTTGAATTACTGCCAGATAAAGACAATAAAAATGAATCAATGAACTAGTTAAACGTATAAAAACAATGAAAGCGAATATAAAAGTTATAGTATAAGAGTGAAACAGGTAACTACTCAAGAACAATAAACTAAATTTATAAAAAAATATCACGAAGATTGTTGTACTTTCAAAGGTACCATGATGTTTATAAACTGTTAAGAAGCTGAACAATTACTGAATTTCTCCGAAAATTAGTATATTTTAGCACAAGCTGAATGAGTTATGTCTCAAGTTATAGTTAATCTGCAGACGATCTTCCTTTAGGTAGTGGCTGATCTAACAGGACCTGCTATTTTTACGGATTTCTTTCATAATTTGTGATTGCAAGGAAGCCAAAGCCATATAATAAAGTACTAATTTCACAATATAAGGGGTTTTATCCCACTGATGATAATATATTGGCTAATTCGCAATTTTTTCCCCAAATATAGGGGCCACGTAAGTTCATTGTGGAGCTGCAATATATTTTAATAAATTGGGTGTTCAAGTATATGGATTTATACTACCTAATATAAATGTTATGAGTAACGTAATGACGCGCCTAGTTTTTTACTTTAAGTTAAGAGCCTTAAACTGGCTTCACCTACTACGCTGTTACATCAGCAAGGTAAGCATAGATATGAGAAGTAAATCGTAAATTTAAAGCAAAGAGTAGCATTGTAGTTGAATAGCAATCACAGGCTAGAGCCAGCTAGAAGTTATTTTCTTTTACCGTAAACAGGTTTTTCTTTTATATGCAGTGGAACCTTGAATTTGACATTTTCAATATAATTATTAAAATTTGATTATATATATAAACTGTATGGCACATAACTGTTTAATAATAATAATCTTCGAAGCTGCTTCAATGGAGGCGAACATAGCTTTCTTCAAGAAGATAAACTTGCAACAGAAGATCTAGGGACAGACTTTTGCACTTCATGTTGGCCAATTGCTGAAGCGGCTTAGCGACTGTCATTTTGACGAAAGAAAGATTTCACTGAACACTGACACTCAATCGGTGACATTCTCTAAGGGAAACGGCAATATGGAGTTCAAATAGGTTTAACTGCTGGGCCAAACGCATTTATTAAGCACTTTTTTAAAATTCTACACTGATCTGACCTTTATTTATTCGTAAATAAAATAACATAGCAGTTAACTAGCTGTGTATGTATTTTGTTTATTAGTATTATTATTACCTGTCAATATACCATTGTTTGGAACATATGAAGGCGCAGAAAACTAGAGGTCACGAATGATGTCTACACCGCAAATGACTTCATTTACGTATTGTCAGGTGAAAAACATATTGACTCAAGATAATAACACGATTTTGACTCCCATTGAATAAGTAAACGGCTTAACTTGTATCCTTCGTAATTTTAAGGATTATATTAACGTTCAGCTCTTAGTTTTGCAAACCATATAGTTGTCTTAAATCCCAGAGAACATTTTGTGAATACACGTATTTTATATGCGCACTTGTGAACAAGTAAAATGACAATATTTACACTTAATAAATATTAACTAACTAGAAACTTAAATAATGTGCAAACATCGTTGAATGTCTGCTGAAAATCCACTCTAAAGGTTGACCGTTAAAAGAGCCCGTAATTGTAAGTTTGATTTTGATACCGGCCGTCCATGTCCAAGATTGGGAAATAGTGCGCTTCTAAACTGGCCATATAATTTGTCAGCTACCAATTTGCTCGAAAACGAGCGCACGTTTTATCTCGAAAAACTAAACGTATCACCTTGTAGGTCAGATGACTGTTTTCAATTAAGCTTAAGTTACTCTAAAAGTGTATAACTGTTCTCTGTATTAGTCAAATAGTTTAAACAAAAAGTAGACAAAAAGTTAGTTACGCAGTAGTCTATAAACCCAGATATGTCGACACAGTCCACAGAAGCTAACTTATGTTTTAATTAGTAAAAAGTTAGCAATAGGGATTCCGATGCTTGTTATCCTGTTTTTGACTACCTCCATGACGACAACCGGTTTCTTATTTATGTCGTAGTTATGATATGAGCAATAACTATCTAGTAAACATTTCTTTCGGGTTTTTACAGAAAGCTTACCATATCCTCATCGCTCCTGTATCGAAACTACTTTTTTTATGACAGTACAGGGGTAACCTGTTTACTTACTAAACTTGGAAACATAGGAAATGGGTTAGGCTTAAGTCTTAACCTAAACAGATTTCTACGCTTTAGTGAAAATGTGAGCAACTGGAAAAACAAAAAACCTGGCAAACCTTTATCCGTACAAATGTCTTGTATTGAACTCCTGGCCTTTGAGGAACCACTAAGTAACCGTACCAGGCTACGTCGTAAAAGATACGGCTGACATTCAGTAAGGAAAGAAATGTTTTGTATTTAAGCACTTAAAAATATTGTATCTATCAAGATATACGTTACCTGTCCAGATAAAGAGTTCTCCTTGGCGAAATATACCGAGTACTATCGTATAAGCCTACGTGGAAACTATCGCCTTCAAGAGGTGGATTATGTCTATGACATCTTGCTATATCTACACAATCTGGTTCTATCTAGTTATTCAGAACGGTCGTCGCTACGCTTGTCAACGTACTTAACTCACTTCTTTTAAAGCACGACTAGTGGTAGGGACAACGGCACGCTAGCCTTTGAGATAGCATACATGGTTGTGCGTGCGAACATTCATAGATAGTTTGGGTGGCTTGCTATGCATTGATGGAGTAATATTTAAGCCGATGCAGCAGTAATGGGGAAAAAGGCAAGCTCTGCTTACCATCGCAAACTAGAATAGTGCGGCGTTTCCTTGCAAGGTCGATTAGGACGGAAGGCTGTCAGAGAGAAAGCAATGGTGACGTGCCTCCGGTCAACTATTGTATGTCTCGTGGGAATTTTTGCTTACCTGAAGCGACACAATCTATCTGCGACCGACAACGACTTACTCGGCCTTTAAGCTGAAGCAATTGAGTTAGTTTGTTGAATGAGTATTATATTTATCCTGAGTATAATTAAAATGCTACGAATAAACTAAGAAATACATTTGTTGTCTATACAATTCAAGCAAAAAAAAAAAAAAAACATTTAATAAAGGTTTTCGTAGCAATCAACGACTGATAAAATATACTGTGATTAGTATGGTTACATTTAAAATCGAAGTTAGAATTTGTTAGTGTATAACTGATATGAACCTTAAAATCCATATAAAATTAGGAAAATAGGCAAAAAGGCGTTGTAATGAAACACGTTGATGTTACCATGGGTACCATGTTACCCTATCGTTTTGGCAGCGTTGTCATCTAATCAAAATAATTCGAATAGTAGTTTTGTGCAATGTTTGATGAGATTTCAATGAAAAGCCGACATTTTGTCGAAATTGTTTGGCCGTATCATTCTTTTATTTACCAAATCTGCCTCAGAGCTTCTGTAGTAACATAAAAAACATATTTGAGTTTGAACCCTTAAAATTTCCCTGGCGCCAAAAAAATATAGACTTAGGCAATATCGATCTAATTTACCTGTTCAGACTTGGTATGTATGAGGAGCGATGACACAACAACTAGGCCATTTTACATGACTCAATAATATAGCCTGGCCATAAATGTCATACATAAGCCCTATCTACAGTAGAGATGGTATGTAACTTAGATCAATAACTCACGATAAATCAATCAATTTCAGACCAAGAAATGGAAAAATCAAAGCGA